GACATCCTGGCGGCCGAGAAGGTGGAGGAGAAGAGCTTCGGGAGCTCCCACGTCATGCAGGTGGTCTACACGGACACGGGCGGGCAGCAGGAGACAGCCTACCTGCAGTGCAAGGTGGGGGACAGCGGGGGGCGCCCCGAGGGGTGTCACAGCCCGGGGGGTGTCCCCCTCACTGTCCCCAACCCCACAGTGTGTCAATGAGCTGAACCAGTGGCTGTCGGCCCTGCGCAAGGTGTGCGGGAACAACCCCCGTGTGCTGCGCTCGTACCACCCCGGCGTCTTCCGCGGGGACAAGTGGAGCTGCTGCCACCAGCGGGACAGGACAGGTACGGCGAGGGGGCCCGGGACCCCCGCAGGGAGGTTGGGGGGCGTCCTCCCATGTGCTGACCCTGCTGCCCCACAGGGCTGGGGTGCGACCGGACCAGGCACGGCGTCACCCTGCAGGACTGGAGCGACCCCCTGGACCCCACAGTGGAGGCTCAGCGGCTATTCCACCACCTCCAGGGCCTCCGGGGGGCCCTCAGGTGAGTCCCTTCCCCCTGGAGACCCCCCTGCATCCCCTTGTGCTCCTGCCAAGGGCCTGTCCCTCTCATCCCCCTCTCCCCAGGGAAAAGTACTGGGAGCTACAGGAGCCAGAGGACGCCCAGAATGGCCCCCGGAGGGAAGGTAAGTTGGGTTGGGGGGTTTTGGGGACCCCACTGGGGATGCTCTGATTGAGCAATGTCCCCAGGGGTCACAGGGGGCTGTGGTGGTTTGGGGGTGTCTCCCAAGGGGGCTGTGGGGTCTCACTGTTGCTCCCCTCTCCCACAGATGCCCCCCTGCCCGAGGGGCTGAGCCGGCTCTTCAGGGTGCTGGGGGACCTGGAGAACTGTCACCACCAGGCACAGCCCCCCAAACCCCCAGCCCCTGTCCTTGTGCAGCTGCAGACTTGAGGGACCCCCTGTCCCCCTGCTGGGATTTGGGGTCCCCACGGCTTGGGGACCACGGCGGTGGAAATAAAAGCACTTTGTACGTTGCAGCCATGTCCTGTCCTTCTGGTGGCACCCTGCTGGCCATGGGGACGGGCACAGGGTGGGGGGCTGGCCACAGCTCTGCTGGTGGCACTGGTGACATCTCAGATGGTCCTGCTGGTGCCGTTTCTGGTGGCCCTGCTGGTGGTGGTGGCATCCTTGGAGTCTCTGCTCGTGGTAGTACTGGTGGTGCTATTGGTGGCACTGATG